AAATTAATAATTGAGTTAGCAGATTGATAAGATGGTAGAATTTTGTTATTAAGTTACCTCTGGATAGATTTTAATATTGGTTGACAATCGCTTGGGATGTTTAAATGATCCCATTGGTCGAAAGTAAATATTTCCATGAGGACAGAAGATCAGCTTGGCTCGAACATCTCCCATTGTGACAAACGTTCCACCAACTTTATGATGACGATTGATGATTTCTCACAGCTTTTTCATCATAGCTCTTTCAGACATCACACCTTCCCATTCTTCGGGCACGAAAATTCGAACAGGTTCCATATCATCATCATCATCTGCTGGTGGACAGGCAGCTTCCCCCACTCGAACAAATGGTTCTGTGTCATCCGCTGAATTGGGTGGTGCAGTCTCAACATTCGCTGGAATCACTGGTGCTACCTCTGATATAGTAGAGTCAGGTGGATCCATCTCCATTGAATCAGAGTCCTCAGGTGCTGGGCTCTCCGGAGACTCTGGATCTGGGCTTGCTGGAGAGTCTACAAGTCCTTTCTCCGCAGCTGCTGGACTCTCTGGAGACTCGGGGTCCGGGCTTGCTGGAGAGTCTACAGTCGGCTTCTCCACAGCTGCTGGACTCTCCGGAGACTCGGGGTCCGGGCTTGCGGGAGAGTCTACAATCCCCTTCTCCACAGGTACTGAACTCTCTGGCAAATCATCCACGTTTTCACTCACATCAGGTGAGATGCTGTTGGGATCTAATGGGTTAGGAGCATCCCAAGCATCATCATCACCATCATCACTGTCAGTAAAGTTTCCAATCTCTGGCTCTCCATCTGACGAGCTGATCGATTCAATTGCATACCATTGCAAATCTCGCTTCATCCTCTCCGAAGTTTCCAACTTTTGAATAAATTGACGAATTGTGATCACTTCACAAGTTGAAATTCTATTCCTTGTTGGTTGGTCAGCATCAACAGACATCACAAAGGCAGAGCACTTTAACACTCACGTCACAGAATCAAATGCTCTGTGCTGGGAAGGAGATTCCTTATAAGCTATAAAGATCTCATTTACCTAGCGAGAGATCCCCCTCCAATCACATTTTTTTTTCTCATCATGTAGCTGGAGAACTTGGAATCTATAAAAATGTCAGCACCCGTCCACCGTAATGATCATTGTATCAATATTAAGAACACGTGATCGGGTCGGCACAGTTCAATTGAAAACATGTTTACCAAGAAATCCAACGGAAAAACAATTCGTAAAATTTTCAACGGGTTTTGCTTTCTCGGTATCGCTAGGCCATAGAGTCGGATAGGTATTTTTGAAACTAACATTATGAAAACGTGTGCAAATTGGTGCTCCCGCACTCCCTTCAACATTCTGGAGATGTGCACACCATCCACCCAAGCTATTCAGTGGTAGTTGATTGCTAGAGGATTGAGCAACATTCACAGTTACTTTTACAATATGGCAGTTGTCATTGATATTGAAGGTTTCAAAAATTTTGGCAACGCATTTGTTGTGAAGGAATTTGCAATTTCCGCCCTAGAACTTGATGGTGATGGAAAGTTCGTGCATGTGGCAGTTTTAGTGGATCCACCATATAAATGGGATGAATTGCTTCCCAAGTACAAAGGAACACTCCTGGAGATATCAAATACGAGACATTGAGTGAATATGTGAATAATATTCTGAAAAATGTTTCACAGATTTACGTCCAAGGTGCAGAGAACAACAAGTGGCTACAGCAAATTCTCAAGAATGAAGTACCATTTGAGGATTTCAATGACTTTGGCAGCCCTGATATGGAGCCTCTGGAAGGTGAGGGTGTTTTCAAGTGTGTCTACCATCACAGTCTTTTTGATGGTAGTCCTACCCAATACCATT